GAAAATTCTGTTTTCTAACTCAAAATTATAAAATAAAATCATTGTTTAAGTTAATTTTAGATAGTTATACATTATTACTACTGAGAATTTTCCAAAACACAAATATTTATTAACTTAATGAATGTGACATCACAATATAAATTAAAAAACAAATTTTAAAGATGAAAAACTCTTAACTGTTCATTCACTGGTAAGGCACCTCTATTTATTAATTTTTTTAATAACCATCATTTCAATAAGTGTCAGATTTTAAATGTTTTGATGAGTCTTTTTGAATTTGTTTAACTTTTATGTGACAAAAAACATTTTAATATTTTGAGTTTAATTCGTTAACAAGAATGTTATTTTAATTATAATATATTTTTAAATTAATACTGTATATTATTTAAAGATCTTAAAAAACCTATTAAAATTAATGTTTTTTATTTTAAATTATGTAAGAGAGATTGAAAAAATACTTGTAACGTTTACGTATATTTTCAGTTATGACTTAACGTTTCGGACTAGTTGAAGAGTCCAAATTCAGAGCGATAGTTACGGGCTTGTGATTGTAACTATACTAAATTCCTGAAATAACAGTTATTTTTGTTTTTACTTGAAAATTCTGATTGAATTAAAAAGTTTTAAGATGCATATTTGAGACAACCAAATTACATATTACCACTAAGAGGACTATTCAAACTTATAGAAATTACTTTATTCAATCCTTTAATTTAGCTTCGATGTGAAGCTGAGAAGGTATTAATTTTACTAAGATTTGTTTTTATTTATATTTTATTAATTTTTTATTTTTGTGTCTGTTACCACTTTTTCTCAGCTCTCACCGAACGGATTTCTTNGTCTGTTACCACTTTTTCTCAGCTCTCACCGAACGGATTTCTTTCAACGGTATGTTAAAAGATCACAAATCGTATCTAGTCGAAGACCATTTGAAAATTGAAGAAATTTTCATTGTTCCCCGTAAATGGGGAAAACCTCCAAAAAAAAAATAACAAATTTAAAAATCGCTAATTTTCGAAATTTTTTCAGTTTTTTTTAATTAAAACTGCCATAACTTATTCAGTCATTACCAAATCAATATAATTTTTTTCTAATTGATATGTGAGATATTTAACTTATTATTTTGTATATTTTTTTATAAATCTAACCTTTTATAAGTATACTTATTTTATGCGAAATAATTTTTTTTTTAAATCGGACCATTTCCCTTTATGCTGGAGGGGTTCAAAACTTAAAAATGTATATAGTAAGTAGAACTTTTCAATTTAATTTTTGGAAATGTTTCAGAAATACTGACACTTATATATATCTTAAACTAAAGCTAATGTAATATACTTTATTATAGGGAAAAAATGTCATACTTCATTTTGTCCTCATTGGTAATAATATCAAAAATTATTGGTGATGGAAAACATATAATTGCTGATTTGAAATTAGCACAAAAAATTGAATAATGAAAGTATATATTTTAATCTAATAAAAATTATTTTGCAGACCATTTATTCCCATAGATGTAATAACTACTTTATAATTTTTTATAAATTACAATACTAAATTATTAAATATCAATTTCATACTACTTTGAATTGCTTTAATAGATATTTATTCATAAATTACTTATAAATCAACTACTAATTAGGAATAATGATAGAAATAGAAGTTAATTTTGATTTTTAGAATAATCAACCAACTTCTTAAAATTAAAGATTATATGCAGATTTACATCGAAGCGTTTTTGATGATAGTGATTTTAATCACTGTCAGATATCATTATACTTGACCCAACTATTTTTTTATATGACAATTATTATGATTAAACATTACGTATCATCTATACTTGTCCGAACTATACCACGTTCACAATGTGCCACGACCCCACTCTGCTGGGGTTTTTTAAAATACTTTATTCGTATCAAATTAAAATTCAAAACGATACATCTCTTAATATTTGCTTTCATATAAATGTAAAATTTAACAAACAATTATAAAGTTAAAGTAGACATTTTTAAGTTATACATGTTTTCTACGCGTTTATTAGTCATTTTAAACAAAAATTAGAAAATACAAATTCATTTGCGAATTACATAAAACATTATATTATACTGAAAACTTGAAAAAAAAGGTTATTTTTAAATGCTTCATCATTAATTTTGGTAATTTCATACACTCACACAACTGTACCAATTAAAGGTTCAAAATGCCATATTACCTAGTCAGACACTAACTATAATCTGATTACATTCAGTATCATAATTAATAAGTCACATCGAAAATTCTTGATTTATTCCCCTAAAATAACTTTCAGGAACACTGTACGCTCTCCTCTTGCTACTCAGATATAAAATTATTCATAACTTCTAAAGTCATATAGACAATCAGGAATCATCCACCATTGCTTATAATAGATTATATTGTTGTGTACTTGTGTAATTTGCGGTTTGATATCTTAAAGTAGACCATCGCGGTTTACCGCGTGTTGTTTTAGTGTAGTTTACGTCCAGTAATCTCAAGTTATTAAAAACACTTAAATATAATAAAATTTGTCCCACTCATTCCATCGTGCAGCCTTGTTCAGTATCATTATTTGAATCATTCAAGTACTTTTGGTTGTTGTATTGAAATAACTGACCGGCAACAATTACCCTCAGCTATGTTGTGGTTTATCTTTTAAAATAAGTGGTTTGTATACTACAAATAAGATATTTTACCAACAACTTTTGGTTAATTGGAGACTAGAGAACTGGAAAATAATAGCTAAGTCCATGTTAAGAAAAGGATTAGAAAAACAATTTGCCATATGATTTTACGAAAGAAATTTACACTATGGTGACCTTACAAATAGTACTCGAGCTTATCAAACTTTATTATGGCTTATTGCTTGATTTTATACTTAAGCTCTTATTATAATAAATTAATAATAAAGTTTTACTTGTTTATCAATATAATTATTGAACATTAAGTAAATTTTCATTGATTTTGCGTTTTTTATCAACATTTTTAAAAAATTGCTCTAGAACTTTATGCTAAGGACTTTTGATTATTTTTTTTTATTGTCTCGGTAGAATATAATTCAAAATTTAAAAATGAATTTAACTAGGTACAAATATCAAACATTAGAAATACTTGCTTTTAGGTCTCTATTCTAGAGACTTAAAAAAATCTCCACATTATTTATTAAATAATATATCCTTTAAATAAAATTCTTATTAGCGAACAAATTTCATTAATCTACTATTGTAATATAAATTATTTTTATAATCCTATGTTTATGAATATTTGAGCTCATTAATAATTCAAATTATTTTAATAGTACTATAAAAATATTATCATCAACAGATATTCTTAAAAAATCTTAGTCGCGCCAGATTTTTAATCTTTCAACTTCAAAAGTAGCACTAAAATGAAAAAAAAACAAGTAATATTTTGTTATAGTAACTAATATTTGAAATACTTATATAGAGAATTAAAATTAAAATTTTTGTGTTTTAAATCGAAATAAATTATAAAATCAATTGTAATTATACTTAAAATTTACTTTTGAGAATTTCAAATAAGTTTTATAAAAATAAAATTCTAAATAAGAAATTTTAAAAGTTATAGTCACTTATTTAATTTCCCATTTGATCGTTTATTTCATAGTTTTAACGATATTTTGTCTTCATATGTAAAATAAATAAATAATATTGTTATGCTCAGAAATAATTATAAACATTTTGAAAAAATGTTTCCATAAACAGTAATGGATTAATCAAATTCAATAAATAGTCATTTATATTATAAATTCAAAACGCAGCTGAGAAGATACAAGTTATTGTAAAAACTATAAGTTGTGTAAATATAAGTGTAACATTTAAATAGTAAAAAAAATGCTAATAGGTTTTAAGATTTTAATAAAACATTATGGTCCACTTTAAATTACTTTAAAAATGTAATATAAATCAAAAATAGTATGAATGTTAAAGTTAGTAGTCATGTCGCTATAGACAAATACTGACAATTTTTTTCTTGCATAAATTAATTTATACATTATGATTAAATTGAAACTTCATACTCAAGTAGGAAATTATATATAAAAATATTGATATTATCTCATTCAAATGCGCAATATTATAGTAAATTCTCTTAAATAACTTTATTTTAACTTCCGCTCTATGAAGCACAATAATATGCGTGTTAGCAACTAAGAGAGCGCCCAACCACCTCTATTTCCGGTTACTGTGCTCTATATTGTTTTTGAAAAACGTTATAAGGAAGAGTTTCTCTGAATGTTAGGTTCGCAAAACAAATTATTATTATTATACACAAATTGAGTTACGCAATATTATTATCATTACTTTAATTCAATGTAAAATACTGGTTTGCGTGCCTCGGAGATATTTGTTCGCATTATGCGCTATTATCATACTCATATCGGTATAATAACCAATGGACAGACATTGCGCTGTATTAAAATCTGATTTATTCCAGCGTGTTGTATTTCCGCCCTGGATGTTGTTTTTCGATTTAAGCAATGTACATGTTAAATGTATATCAGCATGCTGTGGAAGTTTTTCTTACAGCGTACTCTCCCATTATTTCCATGAATATCTAGAGAAAACGATACTATAGCAACTCGTTTTATTTTACAAATTTAGCTCAGAAAAATTATTACTTCTGGGGAATTGATATTTCATTATAAACAATCAGCATTAGTTTCACCGAAAAATGAAACACAAGAAACTTTTTTCTGGAATGGAAATTCTTTGTCAAATTAAAATACGTCGCAATTAAATTCGGAAAATATGATCAAGTTTGCAATCAATGTTTTTTCTAACTTTTCTTTAAAATAATAGTTTTATTTAGTCTAAGTAAAGTAACACTATGAACATTTTTAAAAATAGTACAAAATAAACCGTAGCAACAAGAGAGCTATTATTATTATTTATTATAATAAACAAAAATTAATTTAAGTAGTACTTTTTGTAAAAAAATATTACGCATTGGAAATTTAACCAGCTATAATGGAGAATAAAAACCAAGAACTTGAGCACAATGGCCATAGTGATACCCTTAAACTATATGTGTGCAAAATATGTTGGATATCTTTTATGCAAAAGTCTAATTTCAAAGAACATAGATTAACTCATACCGAAAAAAATCCATTTAAGTGTGATTCATTCCCTAAAAGATTTAATAATAAAACAAAAATGACAAATAACTTAAGCAAACATTCTACAGAACAGCCGTATCAATGCAATGTGTGTCTTAAGTCGTTCAAATTCTTAAGATATTTAGCGGAACATATGAAATTGCATACAGGAGAACGTCCCCATAAGTGTGAAATTTGTTTGAAATCATTTATACGGTTAAAGAGTTTGAAAGAACACAAAAAAAGACATACCGAAGAACGACCGTTCAAGTGCAAAGTTTGCCTTATGACCTATAATACTTCATCAGTTTTAAAATGTCATATGAGAACGCATACCAAAGAACGGCCTTACCACTGTGAGAGTTGTTCAAAATCATTTATTTCTTCTTCGAGTTTATGCAAACACCGTAAAATTCATAGTAAAAAACAATCACATAACTGTAATTTATGTTCTTTATCGTATAAAAAATTATCAAATTTGAAGAATCATCAGAAAAAACATACTAAAGATCGTTTTTACCAATGTGAAATTTGTAAAGTGAAATTTTCTGCTTCTCAAAATTTAGAAAGACATAGGATCCTTCACGATAAAGAAACGTCCCATAAATGTGAAATATGTCTTAGGCCGTTCAAAAGATTGTCAAATTTAAAAGTTCATAAAAGAACACATACTGGAGAACGACCTTACCATTGTGAGAGTTGCTCAAAATCTTATATTTCTTCTTCGAGCTTACAAAAACATCGTAAGATTCATATCAATTAACATGCATATTAATGTAAAATATTTTAATTTATTTTGTTGATCAATGGTTTTCATAAAAAACATATGACGCATTCTGGTACAATAAATGATTACATGATTTACAATAATGAAATAAGAGACAACCTATAAATTTATAAGATGGCAATCTTTAGAGTTTTTCATTTATATTAAAAATAACATTTTTTATTTTTTGAACAAATAAACGTTTATTTCAATTAATAATAATTTTGCCAACAGATTTATCTCTTATTTTTAACTTAACTCAAATTTTTCTGAAAACAGTATAACAATTATAGGTATGTTTACATAAGCTATAACGTAAAAAAGTACAAAATCCAAAAATAATATTTTTATTTTTTGTCATAATTGCAGTAAATGCATGTCTCAAAAATATAGCGAAATAAATTGAATCAAATTTTCGTACTAAATAAAAATTATGTTGACAACAAAAAATTGTTTGATTATAAGTGTCCTGCAATTTAAAAAAATGATTTTTTCACCTGTATAATTTAATTTAGAGACTTAGTACATTTTCCATGTCAACGCCATTTAATGGAATTTTTAATGTTTTAATTTGCATTTACGATAACTGGTCCAGTTTCTGATCACTCCCAAATAAATAATCGCTAACGGTATTATTCGAAATTTTAACTCTTTAGCTTCCAAGTTGTGTAATTTTATTAATTGCTGATGTATTACTTAATAGCTAACTTTAGAACTGATATTGACATTTAAATATACTAATAAGCGATTAAAAATTTGTTAAATACAGGATCTTCTCAATTTTTCAATTAAAATTTAATTTAAAAAAGCTTATTTTTTTATTTGAAATCATTAAATGTTAATACATTTAAGAGAAGATGCAAACCCTGATTTCCCAATTTGTGGGCCCAGTTAAATTTAAAATTGTTTCTTACCCTCCATAGCTCACCTTTAGTCGCTAATATATTCAATATAAATTATATATTAAACAAAACACATACATAATCAAAAAACAATCTTTTTTTATTTAGGTAAAGTACTTTAATAAAAATAAATTACAGCTTACAATGAATTTTTGACAAACATTTTCTATCTTTTTGTTCAGAGAACTTGTCATAATTTATATTTGTCATAAAGTTTTACCCATTTTTGTTAATCAACCAAAATTTTATTTATCTTGAATAATTATAAATGGTATACAACTAAAATTTGTAAAATTAAATAATTTATTTACATCCAAATATTAAAAAATAATTAATTACAATGATTATGCTTTATATATTTTGGAAGTTCAATAAAACCTTATTTGTCCGATAACTAAATGAGTTACCCTATTTCTTACCTTTAATCCTATACAAATACATGTTTTAAAATTATTTTCTAATAAAACGTTTACTTAATCAAGGTTGTTGAATCTAGATGGAAAGTTTTTTTAAGTACATTTAAAAATGATTTTTAATAATATCGATCCCGCATAAGTTTTGATTAATATATTAATACTCACAAATAGAACACCGATATCCGCATAAAAAGTCCCGGATTTGTTTTTGCTTTAAAAGACTTTATTAATAATTTGTTTTTAAATGCACATTATTTAATATATTGTATACAGATAAAATAGACGAATAACATTTGTTATACATTTATTTCACTGTAAAACACGTGTATGATATAATGCATAAAGTAAACTTATTCATTTATTTATATTAGTAAATTTGTAACATAAAACATCCCTCACATTCTACTCTCTTGTTATTTATCATCCATAAAAGTAATGTTTATCTCTATAAAAATCAGTAATCGTCAGTTGAAACATCATTTTCTGTGTAAAATGTAAACTCCTATGTGTTACACTTAAAAAAAGGGTAAAAATTTGCTGTTGTCTTGTAGCTGCAATAGTGTAGTACGCGTTATTATTTTATGAATTCCTGTAATCGATCAGCCGATTGTATACAATAGAATCAGCCGTGTCCCGTATAATAATGCTATAATGTTTTTCCCTGGCCAACGTGTGTGCTGCGAGTCGTGTCTGCTCGAAATTGGTTTGGGCGAAAGCGTATAAAATAATATAAATAAAAAAAAGGAACATTTATATATTGTTATATTCTAGACATAGCTCGTGTCTTGAAATAAAATAATAGAACACTAGTGACTTTACTTCCATTCTGTCGTCACGTGGACGTGAGCTACAACTTGACTACACTACACGTACATTCACTTACACAAGACATCACGACGAATCGAAATGAGATTGCAGGTGCACAAAACGGTCTCCGCGCACACAAAAGCCCACCCCTCCATCATAATATTATTATTATCTCACTAGGCTGTCGTTTTTATAGTATCCGCTTTGTAAAAGTAAAGCGATGACGTTTTATATTAGCCCCTTCAATCCGTCGTATCGTACCTCACGTGCGCAAACCAACTCACTTACCTTCTGGACAAACACAATTTTAGTAGAGATATTTATTTAAAGTCACAACTATCGCAGAATTTTCAAAAGGGGTGGCCGATACAAAAAATAAATGTTTTCGCCTTACTTGTATCTTTATTTAAAGCAAATAAACAACACGAGTCTTTTAATTAATCTCTCAAGATAATAAATAAGCCTATAAGGGACTATTTTAGTGAAAATAATGTTTGAAGTAATAGATTAGGTTGTTATGTTTCTCTTTGGATTGAAAAAAATGAAACCTTTTTTTTATATACAGAAATCTTACTTTTATTTATTTGCTCATTTTTTTTTTTTTTTAACCATAACTGTTGTTTTTTTAAGTTATTCAGTTTACAAACTTAACTTAATCTCATTAAATAGATCAACATTTATTGAAAAATCACTTTATGTATTCTACGAACTGAGATTTAAAACATATTTTCTTTATGCCGTCAGTGCTCAAACGACATTTTTTTATGCAAGCGCTAGTACTTAAAACCATGATAACATTATAATGGATTTTCGAAATCTTACAACATAATATGACAACTGATCCGTATGGTTCGACGTACCGTATGAACGCTACAAAAGAACGGCGCATCGTTGCGTTCATTACCTATACAGGAATAGGTTGTCACGCTTGACAAGTCCCGGGCATTGTATTGGTTGGTTTCAAAAATCAACTTCAATAATAACTCTAATATTGTTATTGTATGATTTGTTGCGTTTGCGTAAAATGTTGAGTGCCTTTTGTTGTTGCAAAAATCGTCTTCGGAGTGCATGATGGAATTTCAGGGAAAATCTGATTATCCGTTTAAAAGCTTGATACGGTTAATATAAATGTCACTGGCAAAATTCTAAAGCGTAGAATTAAGTCTGAAATAATATCAAGTGTATACCTTAACTCGTGTACTTGACGAAATAATGCGTTCCTTTGTTTAAATATAGCGCGTTGATGAAATATTTCGTTCCTAGCCATTTCCCAGTACAGTTAGGTCAACAAGCTGTGTGTTGTTTTTAATTTGAAACAATCAACCGGTACTCTTCACAGTTTCGATTTATACCCACTAACATGACGAATGCCGATGAAATCCAATACTTTTCAGTTTGAAATGATTAAAAAATGAGCTTAATTATAAAACAGAATAAATTCATGCGCCACCCCGCTTTGATTATAAGCAAAAAGGGTTATCTGACGTCAATAGGCAACAGTACTGATTTCGAAACGTGCATCGTATGTACTTGGAGGTGATGAAAAAAATAATTTTTCGTCACGAACAATTACCGTGAAAAAAACCGCCGTTCAAAGGGTAAAGTAATTATTGTAACAATACAATTTCATTTTCATCCGACTGGAAAAAATACGTTCTCCAACTAACGTACCTATAGTAGGTGAGAACACTTTAAATGTAATTTGAACGTTTTCGTGGACATTATATGGCGTTCAAAAAAAAAGCAATGGTCGTTACATACCGAAAAAAAATGATTAAAGTCGAAAACATTTTTGTCCGCACTTGTTCCCGCGGTCGCATCCTCGTCCAATTACGTCGTTTACCATGTTAGTCAGTTAACCGAGTTTTAATAAACACCCCTTTGCTAACATGTGATTAAATTTCGGTCCGTTGTGCTTTGATGTAATTTCCGACTGTTGCCTCGTTCACACGGCCGCGTGCGTGCGCTTTGGAGATACGTCTCGACGATAACAGGCGACGTGACAGAAATGATTCCATTACATCCACGACGACAAGTACAATAACAACAACACGATTAACATCACACGACGCCGCAGAGTGCGTACAACCCGGCGGTGTTAATGGCAACTCTCAGCGTTGTTCCGTCTGCCAGTGAAACATTATTTTATTATTTATAGTAAAAAATCCGGCGCAATAACGCCAGTGTGTCGGTACACGTATACGTAGGTGCGTAAACGTCGTACCGATAAAATAATCGGAGTGATTCGTCGAGGACTGTGTGTCGTATCAAAACACACGACTGGTTTATGCCGTTGATTAGCAACAGATAACTAGTGTTGCGACATATTGCCGTTCCGTGTACGCGCTGTTTTAAGTGCACTTGGCACTGCGAAACTATAAACCATGTTGGATTCTTATACTCCGCTCCACGTATCGCTTAATTAACATTTTACGTTAGTTTTTTTACACGCCAATTCAATATTAACGAATAAACTATTGACAGAAAAAAATTATAACACCGATAATGGAAGTTGCTTATTTTAATTAAGTGTTTGGTCATTCAGTAGCAATTGTGAAATCCTAATGTATTTTATTTGCCGGGCTTGCAATAAATTGCCCTGTATATGCACATGTTGTAATTACACAATACTGACCTTGTATTATCTGTTGTAGGGCTGGAGTGTCATAACCCTGTTTTATGCAATTATTAAAACAGTTAACATGATGGAATCGGATCAAAAAAATGAAATAAGAAATGGCCACATTTTCAGAAAAAAACATAGAACAATAAAATTATTTATAAAATAAGAATATTAGTGAGTTCAATTATACTGTTTATATAAGTTATTTATTTTAATTTTCCTTTTTTTTTACAGTTTACTTCTAATTATACTATAACATATCTCTATCGAATTTCGTGGCATTTATATTTATTTTATTATGACATTGACTTATTATGTATTGTATGATAATAAAAAACAAATGTTGAATTTTAGAGACGATTACTATTGCACATATAATGCAGTGGTCTGTTCCTGAGCGATATAATTGTGAGGGATCATTCACAACAGCCAACGGTCGCCGATCTTCTAATAAGTATATGTCTGCCACTCTACAACCAAAGCAGTGGTCCACTTCTTATACAAATCAACACTATGTAAGTAGTTATATATTAACTTACTTTAATCCAATGGTTTATCAGTATATGAATGTTTGACACTAATTAATTGTTGACTGACAAACAAACGGGCGTATACACGTCTAGTTATCGGACGGCGCTCGGACTAGGCAATTTAAGGCCATCGGTGTCGCGTTACAATTAAAATATTCTTTAATTAGGTGTTTATTTTTTTATAAGTACTACAATTTTTTGTATTCGATTGACGTATACATTTAATGTTGAATAGGTAACATGAATTATGTGACGTGATTTCAAATTTTATTGTTTGCCATTTTGTAATAAATACATACAACTCGTAGTCTATATTATACTGAATCGTTAGGCAACATGAACAATTTTACGTTTTAAACGAATTTTAAATAAATAATACCTTATGTATTTAAAAGTAAAATTGATCATTTAGATTTTTTTTCGGTCTATTTTTGCATAAAGTTTTCTAAGAATAGTAATTTTATTCTTCTGTTGTAGTTATACAAAGTATGATAATAGAACAGTAGATGGACGCAGAGTGAAAATAATGCTATTTAACAATTCATAAGAGTACAAGACGGGTTTAGTGATAAATCCTTACTTTTACTCAGAATACTGTTAAAAAATAGAGCCCGGCAGAATTGAAATGGTAATCGGCTTTCTTTTCCATTATCTGTTTGAAAAGGTATTGCTCTTAGACCAAAAACAATAATACTCTATATTTACATCAGTTTTTTTAAGCGCATCTGGCTTATATATTATACTATCGTTCACACTGTATAGACAATACAGGGTGATTTATTAAGAGTACAACTCCCGTATTTTTTTTTTTTTTATATAATAATTTTTTATTACAATAAACTTGATATTTACTATTATTCATAAAAATAAATGAACTTTTAATCAGTACATTTTTAAAAAAAAAACATTGTTTAACGATAAAGAAGAGAAGTATTCTTAATAAATCACACTGTATATATATATTTCTGGGATTCGGTATTAGAATTTTTCTTGGAATGCAATACCCAAGTACTGATGTGCATTAAAATAATTATTTAATTATTTTTAAATATTTTTTTAATTATAAAATTTGAACCTTTAAATAATAGTAATTCGAAATCTTAACCATACTTCTACATCAGTTTTAAGTGCATTCTATAAACTTGATAAAATTGGTAAATAAGCAACATTTTACACGGACTTATTAATACATAGCAGATCATGACGATCATATCTAGCGATTCATAATAAAATTACTATCAAAATGAGAAAATTTTAGAGTTATGAAGTAAATTAACTATAAATAAAGAATGTTTATTAATTAATCTTATTAATAAAATCTTCAAGATGTTTTTTTCTAACCAAAATTATTTTAATAAAATTTATAAATTTCAAAAACATTTAATGTTTTTTTTTTATTAATTGAAAATTTGACTAAGTTTACCTAGAATTATGATTAAAAATTTCCAAACATTTAACAAGGAATACACAATTGGATATGTCTCTCTTATTGTTGTTAAAATCATGTGAGATTTTTAAATTATTTTTTGGTGCGTTCCACCTGATAAAAATTATTATGAGCGATCTCATTTTATTATACCATGTATAAGCTCAATGATCTCAGCATATCCTAAAAAACACAGGGAATTGAACTCGTTTATTCTCCGCCCAACTTTAATTACTGCTAATTCGACTGCCGTCGACCCGTCTAGCTTTTAAATGGTAAAAATAAACATTAATTACATCAGTTACCCGGGATCGTTTAAATTCTATTTTTATAGAATGCGTATCGTTTTATTGAAAGTAATTATACACATACCGATGCAAAACTTCCGATTAACATAAAATCTAAAGTTTCTTTCGATTTTATTATTATTTAATTTCAACATTTGAAAATAAATAACAATATGACAGTATTATAACCTTAGATTTTGGCGAACAAATTAATTTATACAATGAAAAATTCACACCCTATTGAATAAGTTTGTACAAATATTATCTATTAATGTATGTATTAACTAATACATACATTTTTTTTTTTTTTTTGAGTAAATATTACGTTCTTTAGTAATATTGGTTTGTTATCTATTAAGTCTAACCTATGAATAGATACGAGTATTATACATTTATATTGGGTGTTCAGTAAATAAAAGAAAGGTTCTATTGTTCTCATTGCTTATAACAACTATCCTTTTTCCTTATTTACAGAACACTCTGTATATTAACCTAAATTTGCATCAAATTATTTTCAAAATTAATTGAAAAAACTATATCGAAACAAACATATATTGTTCACTAATTTATTGTTGACGAAGTACGTTTATTTATCAATTCAACATAAAGAAATTAAGTTGGATATAGTTTCACTCAGTAATATTTTTTCTTAATAGGATCCTGTCAATTTATAGCGATTACGAACCAATAAAAGATGTAGGATTTTTCAGGATATAATACCATTTGTGTATCACATTGGGTATACACTTTTAATGAGCTCATTATGTCTAAACTTTTTATCGAATTAGGGTTGGTCACTCGATTGAATATTGATGTCGAAAAACAATAAATTCAATTTAAAATCGCAATAATTAAAAGACTTGCTTTAGATTATAGAATAATTACCCACGCTAGTTAAAATGGAAACAGCTCACTAATATTTTTTATGTTTCGCTAAATGGATAATTATAAATTTTACTCTGAAAATTACAGAATACATTACTCTGAAGAGTTCCCTCTGTTTCAAGTTTTCAAAATAACATCAAACAAAAAACCCAGCACAAGGGGGTCACGGCACAGTGGTGACGTGGCATAGTTGGATCAAGTATAATGATATCTGACAGTGATTAAAATCACTATCAAAATAAAACACTTCGATGCAAATCTTTAGATAGTGTTTAATTTTAAAAAATTGGTGCATTATTCCTAAAGCTACATAATCTGCTAGTTCCTTATTAATATCCTGATTAAGATAAAGTATGTCGAAGGAAAAAGGGATTATTAAAAAATATTATTTCTCATTAAAAATTATGTTGATCCATACACTTTTCAATAAGTTATATCATTATAAAGTAAAAAATAAAAAAATAAAGTCGAGAATTTTCACACAAAAATAGCATTCGGTAGCCATTTTCACCATTAAGATAAAATAAAGTCCGAAATTTTTTTTTTTTGCATAATAAAGTATATTACATTAGCTTTAATTTAACATATATATAAAAGTGTCAGACTTTCCGGAACACTTTCAAAAGTTGAGTTGAAAAAATTATTTTTTTTATAAAAAAGTTGTCATTTTAAATCCCCCCCTGTGGGCAGGTAAAGGGTCACATATAAAAAAAATATATACCAAATGAAAGGTAATGATATCATGCATCTATATAAAAAATAATTATATTGATTTGGTTATTTTTAAAAAAGTTATAGCAATTTTAAGTAAAAAAAATTTTAAAAATTTCGAAAATTAGCGATTTTTAAATTTGTAATTTTTTTGGAGGTTTCCGTCATTTACGGGTAACGAGGGAATTTTTTTCAATTTTTGAGGGTGACGTCTTCGACTAGATACGATTTGTGATCTTTTGACGTATCATTGAAAGAAATCGGTTCGGTGAGAGCTGAGAAAAAGTGGTAACAGACACAAAAAAAACAGATCTTAGTAAAACCAATACCTTCTCAGCTTCGCATCGAAGCTAATAATGATTTTCATTAAATTACTTATTAATAAAATGATATTCATTCAATAGAAAATAATGTACATAAATTTTAAAGTTGATGTCCTATTGATACTTTTTCAAATTATTATTGCTAACGTTATACACGAATTTAGAGTTATTGGACTTCTCATGCGATGTATTGTTTAAACAAAGAAAGTAAAAACTATACGTGTCATTCTTTAGACATGCAATATTCAAGTTATCACCAATGAAAGAGACATGAGAAAATATTTAGTCATAAGACATTCCACGCGTTCACCAAGTCCGTTTCGTCACAAATCATCTTGTGCAGTAATACCTAATGATATTAGTGTCCCTTTCTCTTTTTTCAATATAAATCTAAATCATATTTTGTTATTAGCGTGTGTCGTTATCATAACTTTTTACATCAGGTTTAAGGTAGACGGTTGTAAATTTGTCCACTGGGAAAGAATAATGACCACTGCCGATTTATTAACGTAAATATTTTAGCTCCCCAAATGCATAAGCTAATCGAATCAATAGGAAACGTTACGCAACCAATTTAAAAAATTGGATAACTGACAGATAAAAAACATATTGAATAAAAAATTAATTAAAATAAAATGTCTAAATAATTAAATTAACTGAATCATATGAAATGGATCACTAGTGGCTAATATTATTTAAAATTAAAATTATATTAAAAAAATATTAGCTTAAAACTAAAAAAATATTTAACTTAAAATGCCACAAAATCACTAAATAATCGTGGATACGATTTTGGGAACAATATTATCATTATTCATTTCTTTTTAACTAATAAAAATATAGAACAATCATACTTGTAAATACTTAGTAATTTAATGACGTATGCAAAATGTATCAATAAAAGAGCGGCTGAAAGCCTTTTTTTTTTTTGCTTATCACTTACTCTTGTTACCATCCAAGTCATACACTGTTCAAAGCAATAATTAGATTATGGAGGGGGGAGGGCTAAAAGCTCTGTTAAAACCTTCTGTATAAAGCACTGTATCAATAACTATTGTCTAAATTTAATTATAAATATCAAGTTGGCTATAGACTATCCATTTCAAGTTAGGTTATTGTGTATAGTAGAAATAAGTTTGTTCTATTTCTTTGTAAAGTGTGTATTTTAAATCCGTCGTAATAGGGCAATACTTAGAACTAAAACTAGCTATTAACCTTCACCAATTTGCATAACACTATTACACATACATAAAATTACATGCTAACTTTACGGGTTGTTCGACTTTGAACGGTATTTACCGTGACAAAGGCTATAAGGCTAAATGTTTTTAAGCTTGTGTTGGGAGGCAGATC